ATACATTGTTTTGCTGTCATTGAAACTTCATTGAAACTTTTACAGTGAATTGCTCCTTCTTTTTTGTTTGTGATTTATTTAACGTTATCGGCTGCAATGATTTCTAATCTCATAACTGTGTCTAAAGCAAATTTGTTAGCGCTTATATTTGAGCATATTTTTTTTTTCAAAATAAAATGATGGAAAGTTTTCCGAATTTGCGCCGATTAAGCGTCGCAACCTCTTAAATTTTTTCCATAGAAGGTATCCGGGTATGCCTTATTTTGAAAAAAAGAATGATCTTTTCAAAGCGATTTTTCCTTTGTGCAGGTATGAAAGGAAATGGAGAATGCGCCGTCGCTGTTGAACAACCAGTAGCTGTTGCTGAGACTACAGAAGTTATGGAACTAACGGCGCAAGAGTGGCTCAGAGGAGCTTCTTTTAAAGAAATTCTTGGGTCTGACGCCAGTCATAAGGTAAGACTAACATTTTTTAGAAACTTCTACACAGAGTTTATATTTAGCCCTTTTCAGTCTCTTTTTGTTTTGCTTGAAAATAGCAATGGAGAGAAAGGAGTGCTTCTGATGAACAAATCTGCTTTTTCTGAGAAGGCTGAAGATATTATTGCTATTGTAAAGTCGGCACAATTGAAGGAGATTATGAAAAATGACATTTATGGCAACTACGACATCGCTTTACCTTCCGATCTCAACTGTACGCTTTTTTCTCTTATTATGAAATGTTTTATGTAAGTTTTTTTATTCTTGTCATTGTAGTGGTGAAGTCGCAGCTGATATATCCTGCTAATGACAAAGTTGTCGCCAAATATCGTCAAGAGGAGAAGTTTGTTATTCGTGAGACCGCTGAGGATTACCGTACTATTACTGTGGAATACATTGAGAAGTATCAAATGGATCTCAATGTAAGACCACTTGGCTCTTCTCTTTCTTAACTTATTTCTTGGTTATTTAGTGGGTCTACAACGTTTTATCGAAGAATAAGGAAGCAGATAGAATTATCTACGAAGACCCAGATCCACATAATGGCTTTATTTTGGCCCCAGACATCAAGTGGGATGGTGTATCAATGGAAAATCTTTATGTACTGGCAATGATTCATCGAAAAGGAGTTCGTTCAATACGGTAAGCTCACAAACGGTGTATTGCTGCTTTCCTTCATATTTATGGATTTCGTTCCTTTACGATCTTTAATGAGCAAAGTAATTTTGCCATATTTTGCTGTCATATACTCAAGTTTATTTACATGTTCCCAAGTTGTCATCAAATGTTTGGTAACTGAGATTCAGTTTTTGAAAATTTTTACTTTTATTTTTAGAAAATGGTTTATTATGGAGCAATGGTCTCTTCTTTTATTAGTCTCCATGTTCTTCTCGCCGCTTTCAGGGATTTGACCGCAAACGATCTCCCAATGCTCGAAAACATTCGGGACCGTTCCTTATCCACAATTCGAGAAAAATATGGAGTACGCCCGGATCAAATTCGGGCGTACTTCCACTATCAGCCTTCGTTCTTTCACTTACACGTGCATTTTGTGAGGTATGGTCAAGATATTTCATTGATTCATTCTAATCATTCACAATATTTTCGATTTTTAGTCTAAAATACGATGCCCCGGCCAGCACAACATTGAGTGCTGTACTACTCGATGATGTTATTAACAATATCCAGCTCGTCCCTGATTATTACCAGAAAGCAACCCTGACGTTTACTAGGAAAGCTTCAGATAAACTCTTAGAGATGTTTAGGGAAGCTGGTCG